GACAATAACCAATAATAATGATTTGTTTATATACTACAAACACTTTTGTATCACATAATAATGCAGAATAGTTTCTATACTGTAATAAATGCTATGTCAGTTAGCACTGCATTGTTCATATACTTTATTTATTACCTGGAGATGACTTGACAAGCACAAATAAACCATATATTGTGTATTGTCGAAATCGTACCTTTAATGTCTTCATGTTTCCAAACGTTTCTGTTTTTCTGTGAAAAAAACTGTTTTCATACAGCGATAGCTGGATGCTTCTGTCCATTTCCTCATAGGACTTTCTGCGCGAGAGCGCCCTTCCGGCTTCGAGTGTGAATGAAACACACACTGCATGAGTGTTTAGCGCTCCGCGATGTTCATCTCGCCTTATTCTGGGTCCAAATAAAACATCAGATCATGCACAGACTATCCTGTCTCTTTGAATTTAAATCTATATTTATTCACACCAGCTCTTGAAAACCTCTATGCGAACACACTTGCCCGAAAAAGTGCGGGGGACGAATTTACGTGATATTAAAAGTGAGGGGGACGCGTCCCCCGCGTAATCTACGCCCCTGAGTGAGTACATTGACATACTTTTCTTTACATACTGTTTTTCACCTATTATATAGTAGGTAAGTATGCAATTTGGGATGCAGCCCTAGTGTTTTCTTTGTTCAGTTGTCAGGTCTTGTGCATTTATTGGCAGTTGTGTTGGTGAATTTGGTTCTGTTCCTAGTGTCCTGTTTCCTGATTTCTGAGTTGTTTTTGTCATTCTAAAACCTCACATTTTTCAGGCAGTCCCTTCCCAAATTTGCCTGTCAGGCCAATTAAATAAACAGATTGCAATCCCATGTACTGCTGCTAGTGGCACAGAAATGACATAACTGTTAAAATAGAGGGACCATTTAACAACTAAACACAACACAAACACTCAGATCTAAGTAGCATATTCTAGCAATAATATTTTATGCATCATGATCAAAAATAGATAAATCTCAGTTGTCGTTGAAAGGATTTAAATGCTGCTGATTCTCTGGATGTATTGAGACCAGATAAACAGTCTGTGTGAATGAACACAAATGCAACTGCTCGCAGCACTCTTGTGAAATTGTTCACCCTTCGCTTGCTCTTCATCTCCAGTGTCCCAGAGCTCCTCATTTACGCTCATCTCCAGGAGAGGTTAAACGTACAAGCTATCTGGATGGAATGACTGTCATCTTGAATTTTACTGTTTGTTTTTTAGTTAAACTGAATGCTAAAAAAACATTTCGCAATGGGGCATAATCATCTTTTTCCGATGTGCTGACATGCAGTGGAAACAAGAGGCATTGTTTTTTTCTTTCAAAATACCAATAGTTTGATCTAAACTTGACTAATTCTTCTATGTCTCTATGGCAACAAGGCTAATTTTTTCAATGGCTATTTGGGTTTGAATCTGATGTAAAAGGGGATGAAGAGATGTTACAATCAAAGCCGACACACAGTCAGAAACAATGCAGGACAATCTTTTTTTATTAATTTTTTTAATTATTGTTAGTAAGTTGCACCTAAAAACTAATTGTAAGTTCCACAGCATCACATAGCCATATTTAGCATGGCCGAATGTGATCGCACCTTCTCTCTGTAGAGCATCTGCCATCACCACAGGTTTTACCAGGAGCTGTCAGAGCGAATCTGGTCCAATGGTCCAGGGGCCCATGAAACGAGGACCCAACACTAATTAATTCTCACCTGTCAGCCAAACTGCTAGTGCGTGCAGGTCATTAACTACATAATGATCATCGTAATGGAGCCGGAGATGATCATTACAGGAATCAAGGCTTGTATTTTGTCCTAAATACTCAGTAGCCCCTCACTGCAGAACACAAGATCCAGGGGGCGCGGTTGGATCTACATATAGGGGGTGGAGATTGGTAGGTTTAGGGGTGGAGATGGGTGGGTTTAGGGATCAGGGGTGGAGACGGGTAGGTTTAGGGGTGGAGATGTGTGGGTTTAGGGATCAGGGGGTGGAGACGTTTAGGTTTAGGGGTGGAGATGGGTGGTTTAGGGATCAGGGGGTGGAGATGGGTAGGTTTAGGTTTATGTAAGGTGGGAGGAGTTGGATCTGGATCCAACCACGCCTCCTGGATCTTGTGTTCTGTGGTGAGGACCATCTCTAAATACTAGCAAAACTGTGTTTAAGATGATGGCATGACTCGCTATCCTACTCACAATGACGAGAGATGAGTTTAATAAGTTAAACTTCCTTTTGTTGGCTATTTCTGTCACATAGTTTTGGGTAGTTTTGTTCACAATGAAATCTCATTGGTCCAAAATCCCACTTCACATAGCTGTATATACGATGCGTTTTAGTTTGGCTGGTTATGGTTAGTTTGGTTAGGTCCGATCTGTGAGAGGCAGTGGCGAGAGGATTTAGGTTTTTATAGGGTTTGGTGCATTAGAGAGCAGAACTGCCTGCATTGTGACTGCAATGTCTACAGTAGTTGTTTACTTACCACAGTGTAACAACCAGTCACTACAATAAAAGTGTGCTGAGCCAAAAACAGTGTCATTAGAGTGTGTTCTCTCATATTGTATTGCTTTTGCCGCTGCATTTGGCAAGCTGCACACTATTTTATTATTCTGCATAATACATTAGAGTTGAATGTCAAACGGTTCAGCATCCTGTGAAGTTCTCCTTCATCTGAAATGCTCTTATTTGATGGTCATTGCACAGGCCCGTGGAGCGACCAGCGAACAAAGCCAGATAACTGCTCGAGCTCAGAGCACTTAAAAGAGTTTTCAGTCATCTCAATGTGATTGCTTTATTTTATACATGTTAGAAAGACAGAGGATTCAACCAAAGAGACGGCTGGACCGAAGTTACCTGACAGATGATGAAACAATCAGAGGATGCAGAGGAGGTTTTCTTATTTGTTTGGTTTGTTGTTTTCTTCATCTCTCTTCCAGACATCTGGACCTCCATCTAACGCCTTCTCTCTTCAACATGTGTAATCTATCAAACGTTCACCAGGGAAGTTCTCACCTTGCCAGTTATGTCATGATGAAAGTGGCGCGTCAGATGTGTGGCTTGTCTGACAGCTCGGAGAAGCGCTGAAACCTCTCTCACTCTTGTCAAATGCTTTAATGATGAAAAGGAAATTTAAGGTTTGTTTGACTAGTTGAAAAATATATTCAACTAACATTCAAATATTACTAATGAATATGCAACAGTGGTTTGGCATGATGATGATGATGATGATGATGATGTGAGGGCCATTCTTTAATTCTGCTTGCAGTTAGAAGATGAAGAAATCCAACACTGCGAATCCAACAAAGCCCTTCTTTAGAGATGATGCAACACATTTTTACACAAAATCAAAGATTAAGATTAAGATAATTTACTTTAACAGAATCATTTACAGGATGATTTTGCACACACATTTTTTTTTTTACTGTAAACAGCATTATAGTTAAAATTATTAACACCCATCTGGCCATCTGTCATTTCATACTAATTTGGCTGTTTTGTGATATAGTTATTCTATAGTTATTAGTAGTAAAGATTGAAGTTGTTTGAAAAGATTGAAATTTGCAATCCCACAATATATATTATATTTTTTGGTTTTACTTTATTTTGATGGTCCACACATTCTGTTGATTATAAGTAATGTTGCATGTCTACTGACTCTCATCAGAGTATTAGTAGACTGGTAGGGCTAGGGTTAGAATAAGTTGACATGTACTTACAAAGTTACTTATAGTCAGTAGAATGTCTGTTGGAAACCCATCACAATAAAGAGTTAGCTATTAAGCAGAAAGTCTTCTAATACTCTAATGTGAGTTAGTAGACATGTAGGTGCAACATTATTTATTGTCAACAGAATGTTCAAAAGGGACCATCAAAATAAAGTGTTACCTATTAATATTATTATTTTTTTTTTTGCTGATAATTACTAAAGGCTATTTACAGTGTTCTAGTGAATGAAATACTTCACAAATGACCAAAAAGATTCATATACTGATTCAAACACAGTGAAAGGCTCAAAACTGTAAATTATGGTGAGTCTGAATGGATGAGCCACATTGGAAGCTGTAATGAACATCAGTTGAAATCTATATTAATGTGATGAATGTTGCTGGTTAAACCATGTACAGTTGTCTACACATGACATGTAGTGTTAAAAAAAAATTCCCCATTGTAATCCATGAAGCTGTCTAACTCACATTCATCTAAGGCCGTTTGCAGTATAGAAAACTGTTTTTATAAGCAGAATAACAGCAGAAATTAATGAGGTTGTGGACCTGACGCTCATTCTCTCTTTTCATGCCAGATGAGATGCCAGCAGCATTTGAACCACCAACTGTTATTTTACCAAGAAAGTTGGATATAAGGTCTAAATCCATAATGAAGGTGCATCAGACAGTGCAATGAAAAATGTGGCTTGAAATAAAGTATTCAACAAAGGTCAACATAAATGAGGAGAAGCACTGGTAAGAAACACAATATCCACAATCACAGACATTCTCATCCGGACAGGATTAGATTTCTCAAAGGACACCGGAATACTGCCAAAAAAACAGCAGGTAATTTGCTCTATAAATTTCACCCAGAGAGAAAAAAAGAAAGAAATAAAAAACATAGATGTGTTTGACATGGTTGAAATCACAAAGTACGTCTGCGAACCTCCTGAGGGAAAACTAGTCCTGTCTGAATGAGGCTTATGGTTAAACAATATTTTTAAGTGTGCAAAGATCCACAGTATGCCAAAAATAAAGTAAAAGCTTTAAGCAAGAATCCTTCAATACAAATTTCACATTTGCATTTGATATAGGTTACATTGTTAAAAATGTCTATTATCACATGCGATTAGCATACTCATGTGACTCCTGAAATAAGGTGATTTTTATATTCCAGTTTGAGGCTCAGTCAAAGAAACTAATCCTTAATTGTGTACGTGCTTGGCATACTCATGCCTGATGGGCCGTGAAGGATCCGTAACGAGCCTGACGCGCTCCTCTCCCCACACTTCTCTCCTTTTAAATTTCTTGCTGTTAAATGGATTTATGATCAAAGCGTCGTACCAGCGTATTGTCTGCAGCGATGTTAGTCACACACTGCTGGACTGGATTTGATCTCCTCGAGGCTTAAGGGACTAAAAAGTAGACAGACGACAAAAAGGGAATAAGGAAGAAAGGATTGAGGAGAGATGGCAAAGGACGGAGTGAGATGTATTCAGTTCTGAGATCTTCTTTGTGTCTGACGCTTTGAGAATCTTGAAGGTTGGCACTTTGAGTGTCGCCCACCGGAGTCCAAGGGAGATGGAAGCTACAAGCTACAACTAAAAGCCCGTTCACATGAGTCGTGTCAATAAACGCAGCAATCGCCTCTGGCCTTTGGAAGCACAGCTAGTGAAGACCCAACATTTTGCATTTCTGTATAGATCCATGTTTGCAGATCAAGAGTTGTGACCTAAATGACATACTATACCTGCTGCAATTATAGTATGCACTATGTACTCAACCATGTTTGAATTTTATAAAGTTATTTTGTCATCCAACATAATTACAGCTCCAACAGCTGAGTGAATGTCCAACATTCCTCACTTCATTTTTCCAGTTAATTAAGTGCATCATGTGGGTATTTGAAGTGCACTTCTTATTGTTGGAGTTTTCAGTGTGAATGCATTACTTACACTATTTATGCTGCAATATCACAGAATAGTGTGCAAGCATACAAATTTGAATGTGCATAAAATTTACATTGTATTGTAGATGCTGGTCAATGAACAAAACCATGTAATTAATATTTCCCAAAAAGGCAATCAGGCTGGTCAGTGGCTCAAATAGTGATCGTGAGCTTTTACCTGCAGGCTTCACTAAAGAGAAAATGAAAGTGACATGTGGCCAAGAATGGCAACCAATACTCAGAATTTGTGCTCTGCATTTAGCTCACCTAAGTGCACACACACACACAGAGCGGTGGGCACCTCAGTTGTAGGTATTGAAAGTGGAAGAGAGCGCTGTTCATTCACTCCCCCCACCTACATTCCCTGCCAGTACTGAGACTTGAACCCACGGCCTTCAGGTTGCAACTCACTAACCATTAGGCCACAGTTGCTCCCTACATTGCAATATGCATTACTGCAAATATTCTAAGCACTATAAAATATTAAGAATATTTTGTATAATATTTTTTATGAAATATTTTATTTAGAATATTACTACAAATATATATTTTTTATTTTGCTGCTTGATGAAAACCTAAATAATGTGCTGCAAAATAAGATTTAAACTGCTGTTGTGCTGCATTAGTAAATCATGTTTTCTTCATTAATGTTCATCTTTGTATTTGACTAGAGGTCAACTGAAGTAAAAAGTGGCTCATGTAACCTCTCAATCCCTGACCTGAACGTGACGTGACGTGTATGGTATGGTGTCCCATACTCAGAATTTGTGCTCTGCATTGATCCCTATTTTATTAGTTTTTTTTGGTCACTATTTTCATAGTTTATACCCATTTTTCTGCAGCTAGAAACTTGTAAAGTCAGAAACACTATATGCAAAGGTTTTTATACGGATTTTAAAGCAGCACATGATGCTGGTGTTGATCTGAAGCTTTGACATGAGAGTTCATCCGTCGTTAGATTTTAATGCACAGAGAAAGCTATTGTTCATGTATCACACTTCCTCTGGAGAAAATCCATCCATCCGCTCCATCCATTATAGTAATGTTTTATATTAAAATAAAATAAATGGAAAAAAAACAGTGAGGTTTTGACATGTTTCAGTTTGGTGACATGTATTTTTCATAGGATTAGATGGTTGTTCTCTAGGGGTCAGCCTCTCTCATAAACATCCAGGTGGAGATGAGCCCTGGGGTTTGGTCCTGCCCAGATCGATGCGGACAGACAGTCATAACCGAACTCTCCTGCGACGCCGCTGACGTTTCCAGCCGTCTGTAGGGACCGAGGGGCAGCAGCTGAGTGATGGCCATATACCTGAGAGATGCTCCTGTCCGACGATAAGCGGAGCAGAGCGTCAGAGGTGGGCTGAGAGAGGATGAGAATCGTGACCCTCGGGGCAGCGGGCCATCCCTCCGATGCCTCCAGCCGCCACACAGACGATGTAATTGGTGTCTGGCCATCCTTCAGCAAAGATCCCAGCACAGCCGAGCAGGGCAGAGGTTAGTTTGACATATTCTCTGCATTCACTGGAGAATTTGCTTCACCTATGGAATCTTCCACATGGAAGACCTCACACTCAGACACCAGTTAAAGCCCGTTCACATCAAGATATTATGTATAGGATAGTATATAACTATATTCGCATCCATAGTAACGAAATATAACATTTTGTTTATTCTAAGCAACGTAGTTGCAGTGTGTGCATTTTAAAGTATGAAGGATTTTGATTGGCTGTCAGTGTTTTCATTGTTCATCAGCTGTTAACTGTGCTGTTGTGAGCACTAGAGTTAGAGTGATTTTTACAACTTTATAGTTTTTGTTATACTTATCGTTCTTGCTGTGAACAGGCCTTTATACTGAGAAACTTTGCTGCGGTGAAAACAAATGGGTCTATTATCTATAGTTCAATTAATGTTTGGTGTGACTGAACACATCAGCATCAGTCTTTATGAATGGTCAAACCGAACTCTGTAGATACAGCTTAGCTTTAGTGCACGAGTTTGCTGTTTTATATTTTGTTCTGTGTTATCATCTGCCAGTCAAAGTAACAGCACACCACATCCAGCCACATGATTTGAGGTACAATTAATGACCATGCCACAGTATTTATATATAGCCGTATCTACAGGGTTCCTACATAGTCTGGAAAATGCTTGATTTTAGCTGTTATGCTGCCAAGGTTTGAAATGTGCTTGCAAATGGCATCTGCACATCCTGTCTCAGACAGAAATATGAGATTTTTATGTTAATCATCTCTCATCACCAGCCACTCAAAGGTAACCTCAGACACACACACACACACACACACACACACACACACACACACACACACACACACATATATATATATGTGTAAAAATGTTTTTTTATCAGAACTTGAAATGATTACTTTGAAATTAGAATGCAGTCACGTTTTAATTTAATTTCATCATGTAGAGACAAGCGTGTGGAAACTGAGGCAATGCATTTAATGATCTAGTGACATGGTCTCAGCAATCATACTTCACAAAGATTTACATAATAAAATTAATTGATATTAACATTAAAATCCACACTAGAATATTAATCTTTGCACTGTTCCTTTGGTGACCAAATCAGTCAGATTTTGTTCTCTTTGCCTTAAATTCCTTTTTAAATAATAAGAGCAGTCTAAATGTTAAAATAACATTTAATGTGTTAAAACAGAACACATATAGTTACTTTTAATAATAATAATACTAATAATAACAAACTTTAGTTCAGTCGTGAACTGATAGGTCCTTCACATGTAATCTGCTAGCATTCATTCTTTTACAGCCAATTGTACAGCCAATGAGACTGCTTGCTCACCATTTTAATTGACTGGTTCAGTGTTGGCTGTAATCTGAGATCTGAGATATGTTACGGCATTAATGAATGTCTATTCATGCAGAAGCTTTATATCTTACATGCTTAAAGTGAATCTATTGGCAGTAGGTTGTCCATACTTGGTCTGCATGCAAAGCAAATCTAGTCCTCAGTCATCTGCTATATGTATTTTGCCCTTGTGACACACACACACACACACACACACACACAGACACACACATATATATATATATGTGTAAAAATGTTTTTTTATCAGAACTTGAAATGATTACTTTGAAATTAGAATGCAGTCACGTTTTCGAGATCTGAGATATGTTACGGCATTAATGAATGTCTATTCATGCAGAAGCTTTATATCTTACATGCTTAAAGTGAATCTATTGGCAGTAGGTTGTCCATACTTGGTCTGCATGCAAAGCAAATCTAGTCCTCAGTCATCTGCTATATGTATTTTGCCCTTGTGACATTACAAAACCCACAACATCCTTTTTTTTTTGTTTTTTTTTGCATTACAAATGTTTTTCAATGTATTAATCATTTGATACATAGTTCCTTAACTTTCAATAGACTCCGTATATATTTGTGATTGCATTAGCCAGCCAGCTACCTAAAGTCATAGGGTGTATTCACACCAGGAAAGTCCACTATTTCACTTGCTTTGGTCCGGACCAAATACAGTGATGATTTTTTTGGTTTGGTGCGGTTCGCTTTCACACTGCCTTTTTTTTTTTTTTTTACAAGTGAACCAGAAACTTTAAACAAAACCACAAATGTGCTTAAGGTCATCCATTAATTGGTTCATCCATTCAACCGTACGGGTCGGATCGAGGTCGGGTCATATTCACAGCTTAAACGAACCGTACCAGAGTTCATTTGGAAGCGGACCGAGACCACCTCTTCAGCTGGGTCTCAGTGCGGTTGTTTGGTCCGCACCCGAGTGCGATTGCTGTATTCACACCTGCCCAGAAGATCCGCACAAAGGGGGAAATAAACTTGAGTTCGATTCAATCGAACCAAACAAGACAGGTGTCAAGCCAAGTCAAATCACCTTTATTTATATAGTGCTTTTAACAATACAGATTGTGTCAAAGCAACTGTACAGCATTAATTAGGAAAATATTGTGTCAATAATGCAAAATGACAATAGTAAACACTCAATTTTCAGTTAAAGGCAGTTCATCATTGAATTCAGTGATGTCATCATCCAGCTCAGTTCAGTTTAAATAGTATCTGTGCAATCAAGTCGACGATATAGCTGGAAATTAAGTGTCCCCAACTAAGCAAGCCAGAGGAACCAAAACTCCATCGGTGACAGAATAGAGAAAAAACCTTGGGAGAAACCAGGCTCAGTCGGGGGGCCAGTTCTCCTCTGGCCAGACGAAACCAGCAGTTCAATTCCAGGCTGCACGCATTTTTGCCCCGTTTGTGTTGTTTTATTACTTACACAATTATTTAAAATATAAAACATTGTTATTTACAATGCACAGCGTGGTTTTTAATCATATTTTTAAGGCGAACAACCCTTAAATGGGGTCCTGTCCCCCCCCCGGGATTTCTGCCTATGCTGACTGTAACGAGGACGTTACAGGGACGAGAGACGTGCGGATCCATTTGCAAAGCTTTTATTCAAAGGTGTGGTCAGAAACAGGCGAGGGTCAGACAATGGCAACAGGTATATTGAGGGCAAGACACAAGAGTAATCCGATAAACAGGCGTAGGTCGATCAACGGCGAACATAATCCAAAGGGCTTGACAAGAGGGGTAATCCAATAAAATGAGCAATAGTCCAGGCGAGGTGCAAACACAGTCCGAAACAGCAAGGCAAAGGGTTAATCCAAGATACACAGGCAGAAGATCAGAAAACAGGCAAGGCAAGACTTTGACTAGACTAAGGAAACTAGAACTAGAAACTTCACCTGTTAACCCACACCTGAACGCCGGCACACTGAACGCTCTTTGTTTGCACGTGTCAATGTTTACGAATAGATTAAATGAAAAGGTACATAATTAATCTTGACAAACTATATATCATTCTAAAGGTCTAAGCCTCAAGTATCGAAGATAGATCGCGGTTTTTCAATGAAAAGCTTATAAAGAATATTTTTGCTAAATTTGTGTAAGCAGTATACATCAAAACATGCATAATAAAAACACTGTACGTACCAGATTCATCGTAATAACCAATCATAAACGCATCCACAGCTGTAAATCCCAGTTTAGTTAGAAAGGTAAGGGTCCACTGAACAACAACCCGTAGAGCACTTTTAGTCCAACGAAACAATAACATTGTAATATGGATGGTAAGTCTGTATTTGACAAATATTTCATTTTATTCACTTAATCTGCAATAAAGTATGCAAACACCGTGCATCACTACGGGAAGCAGAAAGTGTCCGACTTCAGCTACGCCCACAATTCCGCCCACGACTGCAAGCTACAACTCTCGCCAATCGGTCTGCGCAGCTTCGCATGATGTTGAACACACTGCCGTTCCCAGCATGAGAGAGAGACAGGAAATCTTTCTAAACTGTTTGAGCAAACAGGGAAAACATGCCATATGAATGGAACACTGAACAGAGAGAAAAAAAAAAAAAACCTGGTAGGTGTTACGCAAAATTTCCATGACCGTATCAATGACCACATCCCTGACAGTTTCCGCGACCATATCCCCCACCACTTCCTTGACCACATCCCTGACCTTGATCGCTTCACTGACCGTCACCGCTTCCCTGACCGTCACCGCTTCCCTTACCTTCAACATTTCCCTGACCTCTTCCCGGACCATCAACGCTTCCCTGACCGCTTCCCGGACCGCCAACGCTTCCCTGATCACTTCCCAGACCGCCAACGCTTCCCGGACCGCTTCCCGGACAGTCAACGCTCCCCGGACCGCTTCCCTGACCGTCAACGCTTGCTTGACCATCAAAGCTTGCCTGACCACCGTCGCCGCTTCCCTGACCAGGAACGCTTCCCTGACCACCGTCGCCGCTTCCCTGATCGCTTCCCTGACCACCTCCCTGACCGTCGTTGCCGTTTCCCTGACCAGGGCCGCTTCCCTGACCAGGACCTCTTGCCTGACTGCTTCCCTGACCAGGACCGCTTGCCTGACCGCCTCCCTGAGCGCTTCCCTGAGCAGGACCGCTTCCCTCAG